TCTTGCCCTCTCTTCAGCCCCTCGGCCTCTTGCGACCCTGTCTCCCTCCATTCCAACAACTCAATCGACTTGCACCGCAGTGTCTGCCTCTCGTCGCCCCGTCTTTCCGTCCCGCGAACGCATCCATCAACCGCGTCCGTGTGCACCCTTCATTTGGCACCTTCACGGCACGAACACCTGTCGTCCCCTCTCCGCAACCCGACGCCCCCGCCCCAAACTCTCGGCAAACATAGTTCTTGACTGACGTATGCTCCAGGTGCAAGCATGAAGACGCCGCATGTGCCCTTCGCAAGCTGTGTTCGAAACGGCTCGTGGACGCGCCCACGGCCTTGCACCGGCCCCTCCGTCGTCTCGCGGCCATCCTCGTGTACGAGATGTATGCCGAGTCGTAGACAGCACTCTGCGCCTGCGTCAGGTCTGCTTTCAGCTCCCCTCGACGCGAATCGCACTGACAACGTCCAAGTAGGTCTGGGCCGATGTGCCCCATAGAATACGTTGCTGCGCGCGGTCCTTGCAGCGCGTCACGCTGGGACATCGACAGGATGTCCATACGGCTCCAATTGCAACGCCCCCGCGCGCACTAAGCCGCCGCACGCGCCCTCCGCCCGCTGTGCCGCTCACTCAGCGGCGGCGCCCTCGGCGACCTCCGTTCCTCCTCCTGCCAACCCACGTCATCGGGCACGCGCGAACGCTCGGCTACGCGATGCGTCATGCATACACTCGTGGTGGGTGCATTCATAGCCCTCCCGCATCCGAATGGCACTGACAGCAGCGCGTTTTCAGATCCTCCGCGCACCGAAATGCGAATACGCGGACACACACTGTCCACAGCGGCCCCCCTTCACGTGTCATGCCTCGCCAGGACGGTACTGAGCTGTACGCGACACCGAGAGGGCCACACGACGACATCGTCACGGTGCATCGCGCGTCCTTCAGGCGGCGGGACCCGAAACGATGACGTCGACGGTGTGCGTCAACGCTGTACGCGATCGCTTCAAAAATGCGACGCGGGGCTACAGTGAACATGGGATCATATAGCCTGTGAGTTTCGTTGCGATCCGAGAAGAAAATATTTCGCTCGTTTCGACTGATTTCATTGCATTTTCAGGTGCGAACACATTATATCGCCCGTCCCGCATCCGTCCCGCCCCCGACAGACGCGTATCTCGGCAGGAACATGCCTCTGGCTCCGCACGACCGCTCGGTGCCACGTCAGAGCGCGTTCAAACACTTTCGGCCGGGTCGATCTGGTGGTGGGTCGATAGCGCCCACGCCTGCGTGGGGCCCATCTCACGTGTTTCGCCACCGCCGCCGCCCGGCTTCTCATGTCGCAGGACCTGCGCCCATAGCACGCGTCCTGTGCGCTCTCGACCCCGCCGCGCGCGAGCTGTGCTGACTAGGGCGCATTTTCAGATGACCTCAGCGCCGATCTCAAGGGGCGCGGGCGCCGACCTCCGCGTCTCAGGACGGCATACGCAGCGCCCCCGGAGCACCCGGGATCGCCCCGAGGGCGCACACCACCTCACAGGGCGCATGCTCGTCGTGGGAGGTCCCCTCGCATAGGCATCGCGGCCGGGGCTCCTGCCGTCCGAGCGCCCCAGCCACGCGGCCCAGGCCTCCGAAAACACGGCCACAGGCGCAGCGCACCGGGGCACACGCGCTCGCCGCGTCCCGTCGTGATTCGCGCAAAAACGCTCCGCGCGGACGTTTGCGGCGTGGCGGCGCAAATGCGGGTGTCGCGCCGCGAGCGCGGAGGAGAGCGCGGCGCTGTTTGGCACGGGAACGGGCACGGGCACGCGCGAGGCATTGCGCCGCTGTCCGAGGGCTGGACGTGCAACGGCGGGCGGAGTTGCCGGGAATCCGAGGAGTGCACGTGTAGGCCGTGTTTGGGGCATATGCGTCTCTGGCGGACTCGGCGCGACGCGTACGGTGCGTCTCGCCATGGCGGCGGTGGGCGGAAGGCGCACACGTCGTGTGTGCGCGGCGACTGCGCAGTTGGCGCGGACGGCGTGCTGGACGTGCGGACGCCCTCTTGGACGCTCCCGACGATGCATCTCGACGTCGCGGACGCTCGGCCGACGACATCTGCATGCGCAGGGTGCGGCGAGGCGGGCAGCAGAGGGCGGCCGGTCCGCGCTGTAGATAGGTAGTTAGCAGCACCGTGTAGTTTACTTACCGTGTGGCCCGCAATGCAGCTCTGACACCACTCCGCGGCGTGCGCGCTCACCGCGTCGACGCCCTGCGTCGCCGTCTATCTATGGCTACAACTACTGCCCGCCGCCCCCGCCCGCTTGTCCACTGCGCCCCGCGCGCAACCTCCCTCCTCGCATCGCGCCATGGCTGGATCCAACCGCCAAGCAGGTGAGCTCATCGCTTCAACACACACTGGAAGACCACGCTCACCTTGTCGTAGGCGATGCCTCATGTCCCGGCCGAGACGCGTCGTGCACGCGCACGCAATCCATCGCGTCTGGCATGTCCGGAACACCGGATGGAAGCGCGTGCGAGGTACGTGCCATTCGTCTCGCGGCAGGGCTGGGCTGACGATGCTGCAGCTGGTCAGCGGGGCGGGTGCTTGCAGGACGCTGGTGACGACGTACCCCCGCCCGACGCGCGACACTAGAATGTGCGTGGGTGCGAGAACGAGCGCATCCTCACGCGCGCCGCCGTGCAGACCCGTCGCCCGGCACCTTGTTCGAGACGTCGCGGTGCGGTCTCACCCGCAACGCCCCGCTCCGATGTCTACTGCGGTATCTACTCTGGCTACTTCTCTCCTGCCAATACCCGTCTCCCCACGGCCCCTGTGCCCTGAACGCCCGCCACGCGCCGGGATCGCGCCGGGTCTGTTGTATCTAGCGGCTCAAGAGGCAAGCCTATCACGTCTACGTACACGGGGGGAACCTGCTCACCTCGTAGTAGGCGATGACCTGCGTTTACGCGCCAGGCGAGATGCGTCCGCGGATGGCCATGCTCGCGCGCACAACCACTCGCGTCCGCGGTGCCGTACGCGCGCGCGATTCCTCGCGTCTGGAGTGTCCTGTCCGGAACAGAAGGGTCGGATGCATCAGCGGCAAGCGCGTTCCCGGAAGCGCGTGAGAGGTACGTACCGTTCGTATCGCGGCGATGATGTGCTGACGGGGCGGGAGTCTGTACGACGCTGCACATAGTCGACCTGGGTGGAGTGCGATCGTGGACATGTCTTTGAGCGCATCATCGTGTGATTCCTCCCGCCCTGCGCCCGGTTCAAGATGCCGCAGTGCATCCACGCCATGTTCGGAGTGTTCGTAGCCCGCGCTGCACATGCTTACGGTCGCAGACACGTCCGTGTGCGTGTGCGGATGCACGAGAGGAAGACGCTGGATGTGTCAGTCACGGGCTCCGTCCGGGATGGTGCGGGAGGTGTGTACCATTAATGTCGTGAGGTGTGTGCGTTGACTCACATCGTCTTGCAGCTGGCAAACGGGGTGAGGGCACGGCAGGGCAGACACTGACATGCAGAGGACGACAACTGACCTGCTGTTTGTGCGGGTGTGGCGTGGAGTGAGGGTGTTGGTAAATGTGCATGTGGGGGTGTCAGGCAAATGGAGCATCCGGCAGAGATGGCGGCGAGGGGGGGATGAGGATAGGGTGGCCGTCCCATCCCCGCGCGCACGAGTACAAATACGAAACACAGCCGCCGACCACCGTGCATCAGACGGACCTCGACTGGCTGACGGGGCTTGGCTGCGAGTACGCGAAGACTAGTTGTGCCGCGGCCTCGGATCGCACCATCCCCTTGCCCGCCTGCTTCCTCTCCATTCGCTTCGCCGAACAGGCTTCGTGGCCGTGGTGTCTCCCCCGAGGGCAACGGTCCGGTGGATTTATTCGCTGCTGCGAGCACACTACCATTCCGAAGACACTGTGTGCATGCACATATCACTACCTTCCGAGCATCGCCTGCTGGTACCCTTCTCGACACAAACTGCAGCCGCACCCTTGGTGCATTTGCGTGACTCGACTGTGCGGAATTACGGCGAGCAGAAGCACAGCCCTCGGGGTGAGATTCCGTGTACCTCATCGGTAGTAAGTCCGAAACATTACGGCTGTGTGTGCCAGAGAGCACACGGAGCGCTGTCATTTGGCGGTATCAACCCTGAGCATTGGATGCAACACCATCGGATATTGCATCCTGCTGCCTCACATACACGCAGTTTCGATGCTAGCCATGACAAGAACAGACTTGCATGCCACTGTGGGGTTGCTCAGAGTGAGGGATTCCATGCAGGCACATAGCACTGTTGCCTGGGCACCAACACTGCCGGCTGACTGAACTCTTAGCATGATCATCGCCTGCCTAGGCGGAACATCTTGAACTCTAACCCAGCGCTCGGAACACTGCCAAGTTGCACTGGAGCATGCCGCGGTGCTCCGTCTCTTGTTCCATTGCCACCGCTTGAATTTCGGTAGCCTAGGTCTCTCCCGACAGTC